GATGAAGCAGTCATTTATGCTCCTGCTAAGTCACCTAGCAAGGCCTCAAACACAGTGGCTGGAACACAATAATCTCATTTTGAATTTAAATAAAACTGTGTCAATGTGTTTCTCTATAAGGAAACCAAGCTCACATGAAAGTTTAAATGTTAAGATAAAGAATGAAGAAATACAAGAGGTCAATGAATTTAAATTCTTGGGAATAGTTTTAGATCCACAGCTTAAGTTTGATAAACACAAAGAAAATCACAAAAACTGTGAAGAGCAACCTTAACTGTTTGTAATTAGGCATTATATACCAACTCAAGCAGCTCAGATCTTCATGCACTCTATGATTTTTTCTCATGTTGCATATTGTTTGACAGTATGGGCTCAAGCCTCACCTTCTACAGTAAGGAATATTTCCTCATTATACAACAAGGTTCTGAAAATAATGGATTAAAAAAACCATCTGGTGGCATCATTGCCATATACTAAAAAATGCAATCTTATGAGTTTTGTGCATTTGTGTTTTCTTAAGTTAGTATTCAAATGTATAAATAACCTTGTTCCTGAACCTCTTCACAGATATATTCAAAGACAAGACAGTAACAGAGTAACAAGAAGCACAGTAGAGGGAAACTGCAAAATTCAATACTGTAAAACCACTTTTGGGCAGTCAGCTTTCTCAATTAAAGGCTGTAAACACTGGAACTCATTACCAGCTGAAATAAAATCAATAACTAATCTGAAAACCTTCACAACAAAAGTTAAGTGTTGGCTTAAAGCAAACCAGAGCTGTACTAATTTTTAGAGTGTTGTAGTTTAAGTAGTTAAAGCAGCTCTTACCTTTCTTGCATTTCACACAGCACTTAGAAAAAATGTGAACATCCACAACTCCCGCCTCCCTCCAAAGTCCCATCCTACTCCTCCTGCAACTCCACCTCCCTCCAAAGGCCTACTCCCCGCTCCTCCATTACGTCCTCATTACGTCTATGATAGACATAGGCATTGGCATGGTAACGGGCTGGCAGAGGATGTACAGGCTGGCAGAGGATGTACAGCGTGGCTTTAATAAAAAAGAAGTGAAGATTGGAGTCTTCTTTGATATTGAGAAGGCATTCGATAAAATATGGCATGATGGACTTGTATACAGGTTGCTGGATCAGAATCTAAAACTCCCACAACAAATGGTGGTGCTTTTAAACAGTTTTTTAAATGACAGAGAAATCGCAGTCAAAGTTGGAACCTCAATATCTTCCAGATTCAGCCCAGAAGCCGGTGTGCCCCAAGGCTCAGCCCTCAGTCCTCTACTGTTTTTACTGTATATTTGTGACATATATTATCCACCTAGAGGAAAGGGACAGGTCTCGCAGTTCGCAGACGACCTCTGTTATAGGGCCACTGCAAAGAATATAAAATATGCTGCCAAAAAGCTCCAGGTGTGCATCACAGAGATGGAAGGCTGGGCAAACAAGTGGAGAGTGAAACTGAATCCTACAAAAACACAATGTGTAATATTCACCAGACACCCACGCAAAAACCACCAAATAAACCTCAAACTGTATGGAAGAACTCTTCAGGTCACACCAAAAGCAAAATTTCTAGGAGTTACCTTCCAAAAAAACATGCAGTGGACAGCACATATTGCTGACATGGAAAATGAGGCCAGACGAAGGTTGAACCATCTGAAAGTGCTCTGCAGAAAAGAAGGAGGAGCAAATCCAGAAATGGCTTCAAGGGTGTACCAGTCTTATATTCGACCTCTGTTCGAATATGCAGTGCCTGCCTGGTGTAATGTAGGGGCAGCACAACTAAAGAAACTCCAGACCATACAAAACATTGCAATAAAAATGTGCTACAGAATCCCCAAATACACAAGCAACAAATACACCCACCTTCTCTCTGGCTTCATGACACTGCAAGAACGAATGGTCTATCTGGGAAAAAAGTATCTTCACAGGGCTGAAACAAATCCATCACTCCAACCAATCATTGAGGAAGAAAGAACAAACCTACCCAGATTAATTTGCACCACTCCCCTGTCTGTTCTACTGAAACACAATATAGAAACCCAACACAACCACAACACATTTTAGATATTTAAAGGATTTTGCTCTTACTTTTCTTTATTGTTTTATCTCTTTATTGTTCTATTTGATTATTTTAATTTTTGATTTTAAGATAGGGCAACTGAAAAGTTGCTAGACTTTGTTTTATGTGAACAGATTGTGATGGTGTCATGGTGATTAATTAACCCTTTACTCTCCTTCCCCCCCCCCTCCCCACTCCCATGGAGCAACCGGGACTGAAGAGGACGGCTGTCCTGAACGGTCCCTACAAGTGCCAAGATCTTCTGTCTGTCACTGTTTGTCAGACTAGTGAGGACTAGTCAGACTGATGCGTTGAGAACTGATGAAGCCGCTTGGATAAGAGGCGAAACGTCTTCTAGACAAAATCAAAGTCCAGTTGCTTACGATTTAATTGTTGCCAGAATCATATAACAGTGGAATATTAAATGATTTTTTTCATGTCAGCTTATCAGTGTAGCAGTTCCAAGTCCAAAGAGATTTTTTTATCAACCATGAAATATCTGTAGAGCATAAGNAGACAGGACAGGAGAAAACTCCGACCAGTCATTGCATTCGGTCCGAATGCAATGATTGGTCGGAGTTTTCTTAAAACCATATGAGAATGGTATAATTATGAGTTTTCATCTCTGGTGGAATTCACTTACATTTCAGTGTGCCATCAGCTTATTAATAGCATTTTAACCTAAACAAAGAAAAGTGTAAAATTTCCAGAAAGGTAAGTGTTGCTTTAATTTGTATTGGTTTGTAAGAATTGTTTTTTGCTTGTTTCTCTCTTCCTATTGTTGTATAGAGTTGTGATGATTTTGAACTTAATTTTGCAGGCTAAGTTGTAGGGACAGGAGTCGAAAATTAGCTGTGGCTGTAACTCTATATGCAGCACATCAGGTTCATGCTTTATGATGAAACTATGTTAACTGCATTGTCCCTATTAAATAAATAAATTCAAATTCAAAACTGCCAAAGAGGGAGAAAAGAGCCATCCAAAGTCTTTGCCACCACAACAAAACAAAACAAAAAAAAAACACTAAATAAAACAAGACTTCTTTTCCCTACTGATTGATAACAGATATATATCACCAGTTAGAGTATGTAAATGCTGTAGTAAATGGTAGACTGACTGACTTGGCATTTGTGAACGCTGCTCTGTGTGCACCACACGTAACAGCCTAATGGTGAGGCCAGGTAAAGCCATGGTAGCTTAAATAGTAGATAAATTATTGCCTCCAATTAGGCCACAATGTATTAAAAGCTGTATTTTTTATTTCATTCAATTATAAATCAATTATTAGAACTCTTTAAAGACGTTGCTTGTAAAGTGTGTTTCCTTGAGCCAGTTGAGGGCATGGTACACATGTATGCATGTGCACATGATCAGAATGGTACCTCCTCTGTTTAATTTTGAGCCAGGAAAAACCCTGTAATAATACCTCCCTATCTGGAATCTTACAACACTGTGATGTCGCTGCAGTGTATTTATATGAACTCACAGTCCTGCTACATGACCAAAACAAAATGAAACAGTGTTGCACAGCAGCTGGGCTGGTGTGAGATATTGAGGAGGCTGCTGTAAAGTCAGGGAGAGGATGATGAGAGGATTTTTTAAGGAAAACTTGGATAAGAGATGGGGGATAATTATTTGTTTATTGACTTTCAAAAGTTTTTGTTTTATACACACAAAATAAAGACTGTGGTGTTACGCAATGCAGAGTGGAACACGGGTCATTGCAGTTTGCTTACTTTGTGATTTTTGCATTCATTGTCGTTACATAATAGATATTAACATCCAAAAATATTCCTGGTGAGACCATGATGTTAATAACATCACCTTGTGCTAACTGGGACCCTCCATGTCTTAAAAGAAAATGCCACTGCAGGTTCATCTTTGATAAACACTGTAAAGGATGTAAAGGAGATTTTTTTTCACAATTTCTAGAAGCAAGACGATGCTGTCAAAAAACAGCAGAATGGGTTGGACAGTCTAGGTGAACAGTGAGGATGACTGATGTAGGAGTGTGAAGGAGGATTCTCTTGGTCGGCTCTGGAATGTGACATTTCCCTGCTGCATGTTGCAGCTGTTTGCTGAAGCTTGAGCCTTTGCCTTATTCTGACAGTCAAAGATGCTATTTTCTCTACTTCATCCCACACTGTCTATGAAGTCCACATTATTACTTTTATGTTGTGTAATTTTCCTCCAATCTTCACCAAATTAAACACATCAACTTCCAAATACACAGTACAGTACAGCCTCCTGAGTGATGATACCATCATTCATTCTTGTGTACTACTCCAGGTCAGCGACCCTGCTTTCTGAGATGGACCGACACAAAGTGGAAAAGTGTGCTGTTGTCTGACGAGTCCATCATGGACATCTTGTCCTCTGGGCTAAAGAGGAAAAGGCCCATCTAGACTGTTACCTAGTCAAAGTTCAAAGCCAGCAACTGTGATGGTAGGGAGGTGTGTTAGTGCCCATGGCATCATGGGTAACTTGCATCTCTGTGAAGGCAACATGAATGCTGAAAGGTACATACAGGTTTTGGAGCAACATATGCTGCCATCCAGATGGAATCTTTCTCAGGGACGTCCCTGCTTATTCCAGCAAGACAATGAGACATATTCTGCAAGTGTTCCAACACCATGGCTTCGTATTACATGAGTGCAGGTACTAGACTGACCTGCCTGCAGTCCAGACCTGTCTCCCATTGAACATGTGTGGAGCATTGTGAAGTGTAAAATTTCACTTTCAAAACTACAACAATTAGTGTCCTCAGTTCCCGAACAATTAGTGGGTGTTGATAAAAGAAAAGGTGATGTAACACAGTGGTAAACATGCTCCTGTGCATCTGTTACTGTGAGCTCACAAAACCAATACATACAGAAGTGCATTCTCGGAATTTTATTCATGCGTATGTGTCAAAGGAGTGCACTCACCTTGCCCTGGCCTTTCATCAGCACTATACTGGAGATAATGGATGGCTGTGCCAGTCGCCATGGAGACTCCACTTGGTTGGTGCTCAGGGAGCGGGCTGATTTCTTAATTATCTGATATTCCTAAAAGAGAGATTAATATAAAACAGCAAAACAGTCAAGACAAATCCTGTAAAAACATCAACAAATTTGTGCTGTGATGACATTCTTCCTTTTTTTTTCACTGACTTCCTGTTTATTCTAATAACACATTTGTATTATTGCTTCATATTTTAGGACAACATCTATTTTTTTCTGTCTTTTTGTCACATTAAGGACTGATGCTGCAGCTTCTGGTGGGAAATATGCATCTTGATGAATTCATTCAGCTCTATAGGGTCTGCGGGGATATCACCAACACAGCCAGTGAGAGTCTGTGATGCTGAATATCATACCCTTTTATTTAATTTCCTTTTCTCAATTAACCTCTCATTAACACAGCAGTTAATGAAGCCCTCCTTGTCATTGTTGTCATGACAGTCAGGGCACAGCGAGTGACCAGGCTTTGATCTTGCTCTGTGTACTTGTGTGTAAGGGGGGGTGATAGTCATTGAAATACACGTGTGGTGTTCTAAGCAGTGCTACCTACCACCCTACCATGTGCATGTACATCCATCTACCTCTTTCATCTTTTTTTTTTTTATCAACACACATATGTGCTGGTGATTATGTTGCAGTATACATCCATGTCGGTCCAGACTTATTGAATATTTATTGTGATGACTTTTATAAGAATTCCATAAAAGCTACTACATGTATGTTTTGGTAGAACATAATTGTTTCAAACACATCTTTAACCTGGCAGCACAGAAGATCTAAACAACCAACACAGCCAAGACACCCAAGATTAGTGTCACTTTTTCACTATCAGACCAAATGTCTCCCCTTCTGTTCCTGAGTTATAGTATTGAATAATGGCCACAAAACGTTATGTCACAGTGAAGGTGATCTTAAAATACACAAAATGTATATAAATGTATATAAAATGTCATAACTTCATCATTTTATTCTGTTAGACATTTGTGTGAAAATCAGTGTGAATCAGTGAATTATTGAGTTATAGGCAAAAAATTGTTTGTGAGGTCCCAGTGACCTTTGACCACCAAATTCTAATCAGTTTATCCCTGAGATAATGTTCATGAGAATGAGACTGATGGATGGACAGACAGACAGACAGACCAATGAATGGACAACCCAAAAATAGAATGCCTCCAGCCATAGCTTTGGATCATAGTTTACTGAGTTTAGCAATTTAAGCCCTGTTTAATATTCCTCTTGTATCAATACAGCAACTTGGTGCATATAGGCTTCAGTCACTAATGTCAACATAATATGTTATATATATGATGTATTCTGTATTACTAAAATATTCCTACTGATAGTATTTAGTAGTAGTAGTAGTAGTCATATTTCTTGGCTTTATCCATCATAAATAAGCTCGGTGGTGCACTATAGCCTCACAGCTGGAAGAAAAGTGAATGATAGGTTTGATGATTGTTTCATGGTGGTTATTTTCTTTCTTTCTTTTCTTTTTTTTTAAACAGCAGTTTATATAACAAAACATAAATCATGATGAACACAGAGGAACTTCTGCTCAGACTTTTTCAAAATTTAAGAACTTTGGACATCTTGGGAGAAATAAAGTGTAAATACAAGTGCCATGAAATATATGTTAGTGGGAGACTAACACAATTGCAGTCAATGGGGTTTGCTAGAATGAACATCATATGGTCTTTTGTCCGATACCCCCAAATATCAGGCCATAAGGGTCTTAAGTATTATAACCACTTGGCCTAGAATTTAATGAACACATTTTTCTGAAGATGAAGATATTTATGATATTTATGTTATGGAAAAGATTACTTCATATCTTTTCCATAACATAAATATAATTTACAATATTTAGCTGCTCATATACTGTGGGGGGTTCAGGAAGCAACCAGTGCCTTGTGAAAACTTTCTTGCAAGCAGATATCAAAATATCAAACATATATTTGTCACAGCGCTTTGCTTTAAAATCAGTGATGGTGGTTCTAAACCAGCTGTATGAAGAATGAGGTGATGCATTCACTGACCTGTCTCACTCCAGCAGTGTCTAGTTGTTGGGGTAGCGAGTGTTTACGTCGACCAGGTGGAGGCTTCTCCAACACATCACAGCCACTCACACCATTCTCCACTAACAGCTCATCATCCTCACCCACTGACTGCAGGCGACTGCTTCCCCCTGAGCCAGGAACAATAATCAGGTCATTCCCCTGAACTAAGGTAGCAATTCTATATAACCTGATATGACATACTGAATGCAGAAACTGATACATTTAATACATGTTAAATATGTACTGACAGCAGTCTGGATAAGCGAATATTGTGGTCAGGAAAATACCAAACTCTAGCAGCACTGGTTGGAGCGCCACTATGGAAATAGAGCCCTATAGCACTCTATTGTTGATTCTATCTATCAACATGAAGAGGAGCACGAATCTAATTATTTCTTAAGTGTTAAGATGATGTGTATGCTGGTGTCGGGAATAGATGCACTGTTTCTATTCTGAAAGCCATTTTGATCTTAATGACAAACGTGTTTCTGTGAGGAACCTACCCTGGGATCGACTGCACAGTTTCATGGGTGTGGGGCTGCAGGAGGATCCTTTGGGTGCCTCTCCCTGAGTTTGTCCCTCTAGTTTTGCCGAGTTAGTCAACTGTAAGAACAAAACCACACAGATTTCAGTTAATCTCTTCTTAAACAAATGTGTGACGTCTGGTACTTTCTATGATTCATTAAACCAAGCAATATTTATTTTATTTGTCAATTCATAAACCATTTTCATTTAACATGACCTTTAGTTTGATAACATTCGAATTCTGTTGTGTACACTGCATATACTGTATTGACCAGGATTAGGCAACCTTTGGCTCTGCGCTTTCATTTATCATAGGTGTAGGCCTAAAGTGATTCTTACATTCTCCAATTATAAAAATATGTAGCTGTGTACAAAAAAAAAATAAAATAAAATAAATAAAATTGTCAATTTCACAACTAAAATGTGCGTTGTACGTCTATAACCAGGTGCCTTTTCGCAAGATTTTGCCTAACCTCTGTAGCGGTAGCTAGTAGGAATGGGAATCACCAGAAGTTCATAATACAATATTACCAAGATACTTAAGTCACAATTAAATATTATAGAGCTTGTAAGTTCCGGTAGACACCCATGGGACCTCTAGGCTTGGAAAATATGAATGGGAGTAATGGAGAGAAAATTATTATTTTCTGGTCCCAGTCATTAAATGCCTTGGATTACACAAATGTTTTGTGAGGGTCTAAATAATATTTTTTCATGTTAAGAGTTTGACAGTTCATTGTATGATTCTTCAGTTAAAGGCTGTGGAAACAACGTAATGAGAAAGACTACATGTCGCCAATGTGACGTCACGTCATCACACTTTCCCTCCACTTCTCAACTCACAGTGCTGCTGCTGCGTCTTCTGCCACGATCTACGGAGCCATTAGATCAAGATGCCGGTGTGCTGAAACTTTCCACATGTCCAGACTTGTAGTGGTTTTTGCCACGCTTAAGGCTTTTGTCCTCTTCTTGGAAGAAGGCGGTGAAGTGTACCAGAGACACAGCCATGTTCCCAGTGCGAGTGGTGACGTATATCATAGGCGTCGGGAGCAGCGAAGAGCTGTAGTCCACAAAGTGCTCTCTCACACAAAACCTAACAGTATCAAACTTCTTCCTGCTAAATTGTAGCCTTCTGTGCACGAAAAATTACATTAAAAATTCACAAACAACATATGTGAAATTCAAGGCACAATTCAAACGGGACCAGAAAATAATTTTCATCTAGCCATTGAAACACATTATGAGAAATCGATTTTTAAGGTCCCGTGTACCGGAAATGGAAACACGCAACTTACGAGCTCTATTGCAATTTTATGCTGCAATATGTTGCTATATTACAATTAATTACTTTTTTTCAATTGTAAATTATGTCCCCAAAAGAAAACATCTGTTTTATTTGTTTTATCTAATAAGATACAGCTTTCAGCCTGTTCATCTCACCTCAGCCATTTTTATAACAGCTAAATGTATCTTATGACCTAAAAAAGGAATGATTATATTATTCTAGCAGACTACTAAAAGCCGATTTGTTTTTGTGATATTAATAATTTATATAATGAAAAAATCGATACTTGGCACTGTCTGACAATACGATATTGCCACACAAAAATATCACAATACTATGCTGTATCGATTTTTTCCCCCACTCCTAGTGGCTAGTCTTACGTTTACCTAGCTAGGCTAGCTGTGGATTCCACATCCCCCCAAAAAAGTCTCAGAAAAGAACTAGAATTACTGCCCCACAGCTGTATGCCTCAACATACCAGTCAAATTTTTCTTTTAGTTTACATCCATGTCTGTGAAAATATGGATGCTTCACACACATCTTCCCCCCAGTAGTGCATAAGATCTATACAATCAGCAGGTTCAAGATAAGTGTCATGAATTAAGTATCTGACCAGATGTCTCCCCTACTCTGAGATATGACATTGAGTAATGGGCAGAGAACATTTTGTAGAACATTATGATGTCACAGTGAAGTTGACCTTTGACCTTTTGGATATCAAATGTCATCACATCATCATTTTATCCTATTAGACATTTGTGAGAAATTTTGTCATAATTACTGAATGAGTTATTGCCAAAAACATGTTTTTTGAGGTCACAGTGACCTTGACCTTTGACCACCAAATTCTAATTAGTTCATCAGTCCAAGTGGATGTTCTTGCCAAATGTGAAGAAATTCCTTTGTGGTGTTCTTGAGATATTGCGTTCATGAGAATGGGACAGATGGACAACCCAAAAACATAATGCCTCCAGCCATGGCTAAAGTGGCCACCTCATGGTAAACACAATGAATGCTTATTTTGGTCTATTAATAATTTCAATGGGGTAATTTAGGCTAAGTAGGCTGAATTACCCTCTCTATATGGCTCAGATATGTTTTTTCACTACTGGGAGATTTTTATTTCTTGCAAAAAATGACTTTTTTGACAGTGAAGGTTGCCGACCCCTGGCACAGACATATGATGTACGATTGCCAAATGAACATTTTGTCGCTGCTCTGTTGTACTGAAAGGAGTCTGCTGAGGTGTGACCAGGATGCACCTTCCATCTGGAAGAAAATTGGATGTGTTTAAATTGGAGTAGGGCCCAGGACAGACCAAACACACTAGAGGGATTATATATCCCATCTGGCCCAGGAACACCTCAGCATCCTCCAGGGGGAGATAAGAACAACAACTGGGGGGAAATACGTTTGGCCTGCTGCCACAACAACCTCTGCCCAAATATCACACTGACCTCCAGCTGGCCATTAATTCTGCTTTGTGAGACAGGTTGCTGCTATCTAATAGATAGGAGTCGACTAATTTAACACACAGACACACACACCTCTGTACTTCTAAAGCCTACTTGTGGGCACCCTCTTTGACATAATGCATTCCCTCGCCCCTTAACCCTTACCTTTAAAAACTAAATTATACTTCTGCGTTGAATTGACACCTTAGCTATGGCATAGGCTCCACATTGACATAGAGCCTACACTGTAAACTACGCCGTAGCCTACACCATAGCCTGACGTGCACCACCCCAGAATTGTAACTACGTGTCGCGGTGATGCAGACCTCCTGTCTGTTTCTCTATACTGACACCTTTTCCCTCAGAGGAAACGAAGCTTGTATTTTCTTGTATTTCACAGATAAGAAACAATAAATTGTGAAGACAGCAAAGCCTCCACTAAAATAGCATTATAAGTCTTGTCTGTGATTTATCCTTTATGTATTTATACTTCGGGATTTATCCTTCTGCTTCATATGAGCAGAGGAAATCTCCGTTGTCACTAGGCTAATTTATACAATCTAAAATGCCATAGGCTGGCACTAATAACGTAAGCATGTTGTATTTCTTTGGAAAACGTGTTTAGTGTGACAGTTGTTTTGTTGGTGAATGTTACGAGTTGTAATGGAGCCAAATTGAGTGCTGTTACCTTTGTTAAATGTTGCTGTTGTCCCTGGTTTTATTTGAGAAGAGGAAAAGATCGCTAGTTGCTAGGCTTATTTATACAATGTAAAATGCCACAGGCTTGTGCTAATAACGTTAGCATGTTGTATTTGAGAGGAAAATGTTTCCAGATAAAGACAAGTGTTTGTCTGTGAATGCTGCGAGTTATAGTGAAGCTGATTTGTGTACTTATGTTTGAAATTGTCTCTATAAGCCATACTTAATGTGTGTTTTGAATCTAAATTTACTAAACAAACTAAACTTAACAGCACTTCACAGAAACCTCCACGCCATCTAGCGTTTTGTAGGTCTAACTGCAGAGTGACACAGACACACCACCGCAGAAGTAAAACGGCGAAGGCGATGTGTGTAGGCTATGTGCATAGGGTCCATGCACAACCATAAATCCCCTGTTACCATAACAACTAAGTAACTAACCATACCCCTTCAGCCTGTTCTCCCAGACTGTCAAATGCTGATACTTTGTCATGCCTCTTGACACATGATATCAGTGCTAAAGGCACCCTATGACATCTCTATGGCGGGTTTTCAGCTAACTTCTATGTAAACCCATCCACAGCAATATTTGATGCTCAGAGCAACTGATGTAGTATAAACAGCAAGAAAGTCTGTGCAGGGCTGAAGGGAGGGAAAGTAAACAGGTCAAACAAACACAGACTTTCACCCAGAAGAGACAACTGCTGGTGTCCTGTGTGAAAAGCAAAGTCAGTGCTGTTTAAATGCAAAGTCAACACTGTTGTAACGTGATGTGACGTGACATAGCCTAATGTAACTCATGTCCTTCCATCACATACTGACATCACTCAAGTGATGCATTTAAGTCATGTTGCACACTTATTTTTACCCAAAACATGATGTCCCTTCTAACCCTAACCAAGTAGTTTTGTTATCTTAACCTAACCACAAGCATTTAACAACTTCTACCGCATGTTACAGCGAGTTTCATCCAGGAGACAGCTGTTCATCACATACAGATATTAAAGGATGTGTCTCATAGAGACAGCAAAGGAGACCCTTGATGCTGAATGCATGAGAAAGCATGGGTATACTGTATGCTGACCTGGGATGAGACCATGTTGCCTGATTCTAAACTCAACTTTAAAATCAGGCTATTACCCAAACAGGACTTTGATGGTCTATCCAAAGGTGAGGACCAGCCAAAATGCCCTCACTTTTCAAAAATTTTGTCACTCACACAGACATGAAAACATAATGCATGTAATGTATGTGTGTACCAGGTAGGAGTTCTGTAAACTGGTGCTGCAGTTGGAAGTCTGCTGGGAGGGAGGGGGGGCAGTCTGAGACAGGGAGGAGAAGGAATTGCAGGTGCTGACTAGGTCCGGCAGACTGGTGGATGGGAAGCGTTCAAAACCAACATCTGACTCCTCCTGCAGGGACGGACAGAAAGTTTAGAGAGAGCTTATGATATTATTTTTTTTAATATGTGCAGTCAGTATTAGATATGTAGCTCTGAGAGAGGAACAAAATGATGTGTAGTATGGCAAAAATACATGTTTATTTTTGTAAACTGGCCATCTCCAACAGAACAGTACAAAAAACCTTAGCTGTATCATTTAATGTAGCTATTTTCACAGCAGAAGCCTCTGTATGTTGATGTTCAGACTTTTGTTACAACCCATGTTGGACCTCTGCCTGAAAAGTGACCAAAGTTGTCCCTGTAATGGCTCTTTTCTTAAAGTGGCTTCCCACATGCAATAAATACACCCAAACTTCTTCCCACAGTGAGGACTAAGGACACTTTTTGCACAGCCTCATGCAGCTGGAAGAACTGCAACACTGTTTAGAATGAGAGTGTTGAATATTTTTTTTTCTGGAGAGATGAGGATGTGGAGTGTTCGTGTTTGTCCTCAGTGAGTCCGTAATTGTCTTGAATGTTGTCCAGGGTGATGATTCGCACTGATATCCCCCTGGCTGATGGTAGATGTGAAAGCTCTTGTCAGAGAACCTGCTATGTGTGAAATTGCACACATAGCAGGTTCCCTGCACTTGGGTGCAGCTTTTAGGCAAAACTGTCTTCAAAGTTTTCTTATAATTTTTGGATGTTTGCAGCCTTGTTCCTTGTCCACTGTTTTTACCTTATCTTAAAGGGTAACATCAGCGATTTTTCAACTTGGTCTCCATTTACCCATGTTTTTGTATCCAGCATTGAGAGACAGAGGGCTGCAGTCTGAAGACATGCAATGCCTGCAATGTAACCAGATGGGTGTCACTGTATCTCCAACAAAAGTGGCTACTGTTGCCACTGACAGGCTCAGATTGTGATTAGCATTATCTATTGTGTCTAAGTCTTGCTCAAGGACAGTGTTGGGCAGTAACACAATACAGTAATAATATTACTTTTCCAAGTAACGAATAGCGTAACTAATTACTAATGAAATTTCAGAGATAATATTACAGGTACCCCAAAACCAAACAACTAGTTACAATGTTACTTTTGTTACTACATCACTGCTGATTTGAAATACAACAATAATATCAGCAGACTCATTTTCATTATTGCCGCGCTGCACAGGCACGCCACAAAGCAGCAAGCTAGTTTGGAGGTTGGAAACCATTATTTTAAGTGGCTGGAAATATTCTCATTACTTTGATTTTGTCGGGAGAAGAGATGACAAGAACACTATTGCTGCAAGTAGTCGTACTAAAACTCTTTCCACTGTGAAAAACACATCCTAAAATCTCCTGTCTGAAACACCTACTATGACCGACAGCACAACAACGTGAAGCTCCAGGAAATACACCTCACCAAAGGTGAGCCCTCCTTGGCCATGGAGGTCGGCTGTAGCGCTACACTGGCTAAACTACCAAAACTAGATATTACTCGTGGGCAGCTGTAGCTACAAGAAGTAATGAAGCTTGCATATGTATTTGTACCGATTTTATGGAGTGTAACGGAAAAGTAATAAAATGAGTAGTGTCGTGAGTTACTGTTGGCAGGGAGTAACAAGTAATGTAATATTATTACTTTTTAAAAGAGTAACAAGTAATGAGTAATATATTACATTTTTAGAGTAATGAGTCCAACACTGCTTAAGAAGATGTCTCATTCTGAAATCTCACAGGATGTGACTTGTTGCAGGAGGACAAAGCTGACAACACTAGTGAGAGTTGAAGAGAGTAGTGCTGTTATTAGTGTGGTGCGTACAAAAAAAATGTGCTATTTCTTATTTGAAATATTAGAAAAAGAAAACAAAAATATGGTTTGTGTTTGCACGTTTCCAAACTGTACCAACAAAATGTCATTCATTCCAGATCAAGCAGACAGTAAAGGTAAAGTGACACTTAAGACACTTATAACAATAATGTGACCCTGTCTGTTGCAAAAATAACCAATTTAAATGGACGTAGAGTGATGCTAGAAAAATTTCAACATCTTGATTCTGGATGTTGTGCAGCTGCCTGCTGTAGCCCTCTGTCTCTCAATACTGGACTGATTTCAAAAATTGTTGTTCACATCAATCACGTAGACACATGGGAAAATAGAGTCCAGGTTGAAAAAGTTACGCTTTAACCTCATAGCCTGCACCTTGGCACCTATGGTAAAGCCACATTATTTTTCTTTAGAAAGACAACTGTGTGTGTGTGCGTGTGTGTGTGTGTGTGTGTGTGTGTGTGTGTCTGTGTGTTTATGCCTGTGTGCATGCCTGCGTGTGTGCACTTACCCTGCTGGCCACCACCAGCTGGACCAGACCAGTAGTGGAGCGGAGGATAGAAACAGCCTCCTGATGAGTGAGACCCACCAGAGACTGACCATTTATCATCAGCAACTCATCACCAGCATGAAGACGACCGTCCCTGAAACACACACACATTTAGACAAAAACTCAGACACATACTGTACATACACATGTGCAAACTAAAGCTGAACTCTTCTCCACCACTTCAGGCAGGTGAGATGTCACGTATTGGATCAGACTACATTAAGAAAGACTACGCTTCTTTAACTCTTTATTATTTTAAAACAGAAAATGTCTTTTAAAAAATGTAACTTGCATCATGATGTGGATTAGCATCAAAAAGGACATAGTGAGTAACACTCGTGAATCACAGATTTGTTTGGTTTTAACAAGTGTAGTAGCTGAACTAATACAAAAATTACAAAAACTAACACAACATAACACCAAATGTCTGTTAAGTCATTTTGAGATATTCAACCATTCAAAATAAAGACAAACAAAAAGGACTGAAAACATAAGCTTCTTGGTGAAGGATTAAATAATCAGGACAATCAAACTGATTGAAATGTACTGTAATAAGTAAAGTTTTGAAAATATAAAAGCAATGAGAGAAAAACATGCCTTTATAGAAACATTTAAGACACTTAATTTAACCAAGAACAGAGATGAATATTGCACTGTAGGGAGGTCCTTATATGATGTAAACCTTGACATTATTCCAAAGATGTACTGGGGAGTTCAGACAGAGATGACGGAATATGAGCTACACTTACAGAAACATCGTACCATAGCAAGACTTAGTGGGGACTGACTGTACCTGTGAATGGCGCCCGCCTTCTCCACATGGGCTATAATGATGCCATGAGGAGAGCGCTTGGAGCCACGCCCCCCTGTGATCTGTATGCCCAGGCCCTCATCACCCTTCACCATGTGCATCTTCCAGATGTGGCTGCCCTCTCTGGGCTGCAAAGGAGCACAAACAAACACACATCAGACAATATATCATTTCAAAATTGGAATACAAAAATATGAAGCTGAAAAAACAACAGCACCAAAATAAATCACCATGTGACCATATTGGCTTAGTCAAAACATGAGAACTCTCATGTGACATGAGAACCAACAGATTATTAGCAAACAATGAATCCAAGATCATCATCATCATCATCATCATCATCATCATCAAAGAACAGAAGCCCAGTCCATAGATCAGGGCTATTCAGTTACAATTTCAACTGGGCCGGATTTTAAAACCAGATAATGTCGATGGGGCCACATTTTTAGCAGCGAGCAACCAATCCACTTTTTTTTTAGCATATATATATANGTGTTCATTCATAGTTTTGATGCCTTCAGTGAGAATCTACAATGTAAATAGTCATGAAAATAAAGAAACGCATTGAATGAGAAAGTGTGTCCAAACTTTTGGCCTGTACTGTATATACATACATATACACACATATACATACATACACACACACACGGCCCTCCTCAACATAACGCAGAAACAGAATAAAAAAGAGAGATCAATGCACAGACGCATAATAAGTGACATTAACAGTATCACCACACACTATCCCTCTACCAGCATCCCTCTCCCTCCTCTCCTCCACACACACATGCACACACCTCCTGACATTTTCCTTATAGGTCATTTACACAGGTAGAGGTTTTATTGCACTTACTTACAGTAAGAAGCGTAGTTGTCGTCAACTAGAGTAATCCTGAAGTTATATTCCCTTCATCTGCACTGCGGCCTCTCTGCTGTTGTCCGACTTCACTCTGTTGTGTGTGTGTGTGTGTCTGAGTGTGTGCGCGCGCTGTAAGGAGGAGGTCAGCCCTGACATGCAGAGAGCAGGAGAGAGGCTGCAGCATGATGATACATGAAACTAAAACTTTAAAAAGTAACGATAAGAGCCGATAGCGTCTGAGCTTACTGTTATTATGGTCTTGATTAAATTTGCCTCAGGCCATTTAATACCGGGTCTCCGTACTGATCCCTGCCAGGGCCACTCAAGAGGTTGCTTCTGGGCCGCATGTGGCCCGCGGGCAGCTAATTGTATAGGCCTGCCATAGGGACTTGGCTTGGGAACCAGAGGGTCGCCGATTCAAGTCCCCGTACGGACATGGAGTGTGGACTGGTAGCTGGAGAGGTGCCAGTTCACCTCCTGGGCACCACTGAAGTGCCCTTGGGCAAGGCACCAAACCCCAAACTGCTCTGGGCACCTGTCCAAGGAAGCCCCCTCGCCCTGACAGCTCTCCATTTAATGCCTGGGTAGGTCCTCTTTGTGAATGTATGTGTATTTCCAGCCTGTGTATATTGACAACAAAGTGAAAAAAACTGAATTTTCCCCAAAGGATTAATAGAGTACATCTTGTTCTTAAGTTCCAAAGTTCAAGAGGCTGATCCTCAGGTGGTATTTTTTGGCCTTTTTGCTTTTTGCACTCAGGTGCAAATAACCAAAAGCTATCATATTCCTGGGTGTCCTAGTGACGTTGAAATATGATGTTAACATGAACAGGTCAATTTAGCTATTTTGCCAAAGTTTATATAAACAGTGTCCATTCAGCAGCTTTATACATCCTAAAAATGATAATAATCAGTCAACTTAGTCTAAAAATAACAACTTGGCCCTTGTACAGACATGTATGGACCCACAGGATAAATCCTAGAGACTCTGGTGATCCCCTGATGTTTTCTTTCCCCTCCAAAATCAGGTTGACACGCAGGAAAATGCTTAGATGGATTGCTATGACCCAATTTATGTATATTTCACCTCATCTAGTCTGCACATACATGAACCAAAATAGCAGGTGTGGCTGGAGATGCCCATACACTCTATACACCCAAGAGTTGTGTACTGGCTACGGTGCCTGTGCCATTAAAAGAGGGCCCCTGGTCTTGTTTAACCTTTGCACTGCCACTGCTGACAGCTTTATCAGCCATTTTGACGACTTGTGGACCTTAAAGGATTTATATAAGAGAGGTCATCCCCATCTAGGACACAAACATGCTGGCTACAGACATTATACTTTACAATCCCTCTGATGTGCTGGGATGATGCACCAGCTGTCTGTCTCAATCCTCTGACCCACATGTTAAACCACTATCCCATCACGCTCTGGTTTCCTCATACCAGTTGTTGGAGAGTGGTGATCCCATTTATCCTCTCAGACATCTGTACACCAATCTGTGGACCACAGAACACCTGGCTGCTGGACCTGCAACACCGAACCAAAGTTTCTTCTTCTATGCCATCAATGTGTTAACTGAGCTGGATAAGTTGTGGCCAGTCAGCCTTGCTGCTAATTCACCGGTAGCCAACTGCACTACTGCAGCTAAAACCACTGTCTGATTTTGTAAAAGAGACACATGTGAAAGATGAAATTACATTTAAAAATGTGTTACTTTAACCGAGCCGAGTGCAGTGGGTCACACAACACATACTGACCGCAGGAGGAGAGAGAACTGTCTTGAAGGAGCAATTTATGTCTGTATGAAGCATAGACTGTAAAAAAATGGACAAAGCCACCGTGACATCTCCCATTGGTTTGTGGACTCCTGTTCTGAAGCCTCGAGTCAGGCATTTCAGCTGTCACCATCTTGTGTTTTTTGGTGCCAGAAGTGACCATATCTGGGCAAGAGGCTGGCGCTGTAGAGGAGTGAGGGGTTGATCTGACTGAGAAGCCAAGGACACTATTAGCAGACAGTGTGCAACCCAAATTGGCCCGCACCAGATGAGATATGTAATCCCTCCAGCGTGTTCTGGGTCTGTCTTTAAGCCTTAATAAAATGTAAATGATTAACTTATATAAAGATTCACCCCCTGTATAGTTGTCATGAATGTTGAAATTAGCTTTAGAGACCAAAACCATTTTTTGTACCAGGCTGTAAACATGTTTATTTCTGCTGTAAAAATCCACACTTTAACATGAGGGGTCTATGAAGATTGACAGGTTTTTGGAGCTAGTCTCAAGTGGCCAGTCATAGAACTGCAGTTTTTGGCATTTCCATGTTATGTTCATTTTTCAGCCATGCAGGATGCTGCTTGGTATGAAGGGGCACCATCAATGGTAGATAATGCTGCTGTCAGTTTTTTATTCTCCTATGTGCTGCAATACCCCGCTGGGTTCTATTCGATGTACTCCAACATTCACACTGATACAAAATGTTTGTCTCTTTTAGTTGCTAAGTTTTGTTTTATTCTTGTGGTACATTGCATTTGTACTGGGAAGTCTGAATTTGAGCAGAACCTCACCAACCCTGACATCAAAATCCAATATGCCTGCTCTGCACATCAACTCTAGTGAAAGCTGTAGTGATGTACAGTTTATTAGCCCTTGTAACTTACTTGTGTCTCACTTAAACAGTCATACTCATAATGCTGTCCAACTTCTATCTGTGGACATGTTGCTACCATGTTAGCTATACCAGTTCACTGGTAAAGCTGACGACATCTTGGTTTTCCGAGTTGTACTGGAATGCAATCACCTCGGGTGTGATGTCCCAGCTCCGACCTCTGTGGTACATGAAACGCAGTACTGTTTTCAGTTTAGTGGCAACTGAACTGTTGCCAGTGGCTTGTTGCAGGCTGTTGTGCCTTTAATGTTCTTTGTTTTCTGTGAAGCTCATTTTAGTTTTCCTGACATCGGATGCAATATATAAAGTGTTGCATTCCTGTCAGTTTACAAAAGAAATCAAAATTGAACACACCAAATATATAAAATTTTAAATAAAACATTATTTGAAGATGGGCGGCATGTTGTCGCCTCACAGCAAGAGGGTTCCTGGTTCAATCCCAGGAGGTAGCCCTTCTGAGCCGAGTTTGCATGTTCTCCCCGTGTCAGTGTGGGTTTTCTCCGGGTACTCCGGCTTCCTCCCACAGTCCAAAGACATGCAGGTTCGGGATAAGTTAATTGGTGACTCTAAATTGCCCGTAGTGTGAATGGTTGTCTGTCTCTATGTGTTAGCCCTGCGATAGTCTGGCTGTCTGAGGTGTACACTGCCTCTTGCTCAATGTCAGCTGAGATAGGCTCCAGCCGCCCCACAGCCCTCAAGAGGATAAGCGGTTACGAAAATTTATGGATTGATTATTTAAAGATATGTTTTTTTTAGTAAGAGAAAAAGTCAATGGTTATTGATTATTTGGATTTTTCAGTGTGGTAAAGGGCTGATTTTACAGTTGATGACTAGTTTAAGTCCTTGTCATTCCCACTGCTAATATAGTCCTCATACTCGTCCTCCACCTCCTACTGCACTCCTTCATCCACAATACTTTTGACTACTCAGCACACAACAGCTCTGTTGCAGAACTCTTTGCTGATGCAAATCAATTCCAAGTGTCAAATGAGGCTGAGAAAGCTTTGATGTCTGATGTCTTATTTTCTCTGGATCAGCTTCATTACCAATGTGCCTATAAGGTAGTAGAGTTAGGTATAACGTGAGAACTGGAAAAAAGAACATAATGTTAGGTTTCCCTTTAATAAAAATTTGTGGAATTCTTTAACACTGTATTGATTCATTTTGGCCACTATGGGACAGAAAAACATAAGACCCTGACAAATACCAACCGTGTCTACTGAAAATTCTATTCATATACAATATGTTTTCAAGTAAATGTATGTTTCCAAGATCCCTTTTGTTCAGTGATGTACTTGGATGGGTTGATAACAAACATATCTGCAAAACATTCACTTTCAATGTATTTCTGGTGTTTTCCTACAATATCTGCTCCTGACAACTAAAGCCTGATTAATGGTTTTGGTGTTTAGTTTGGACAATTCAAAGCACCAAAACCATTTTCCCTGAACCTTAATCAAGTTCGTTAGTAGTCTAAATATAACTGCATGCTCACGTATGCCACAGTGCGGACATTCCAGTCGCCTCTCTGTCAGCTCTGTTAAATTTGTGCTCTTACTTCTATTTTCTGAGTTTTGTGGTGCTTTTTGTGGTTGACTCTGGA